CTTGGGTCATCGAGACGATAGGAACCATTGGTTGAAGACTCTTAATAATATGGCTTGAAATCTGTCATACTGACAAAGATGTATGCACTCTCTTTCATCTTCGAATTCTTGAAGATTTCCCCTTAAAATTTATCTATTTATTCTGTCTCCTATCTTATACTTTTGTCAGCTTCCATATCATTCTTTATCGACACACTTCCTTGTTGCGTGGTGCTGTACAGTGTAGTACCTTGGACCGATGTATTACTGTAATAGGCTCTAAGTTAAGTTGTTTGTGTGTCTATGCAACGAAGAATGAAACTTCTTTCACTTTTGACCACGTTGAATTGTATTGTCTTCATAAGGTACTTCCATATCATTTCAAAATCTCAGCGCAACAAAAGTTCACCTTTAGACTTTGTATATTTTCTAAATATAAGTTTAAGAAACAGTTAAATATAATCTACTCTATAAAAAGGAAAAGAAAACAGGTTTAAAATGCTTTATTTGAAGATAAATCCATACTCTAATAAAGTGAAGCATTTCAAGGCTTTAGAAGTAGATTTTATGCTTCTTATATTGAAAGTTCAATAGTTTTTAATCAGTAGGTCATTACTTTTTCTCCCTTATTCAGTTTAAAAGTAGTTGATTATCATTTAGATATTGTTTTACACTACCCGTGTTCATGGTATTTATATTGTAAGTTACAAATTACTCGAAATAATAAAAGGGCTTCATATCCTGAGTTAATGATATAAGTTGGGTGAAGTTGCAAACTTCATTAGGATTCAAACCAATAGCCTAATGGTTTGAGTTTTGCTGTGACTAAAGTTTCCTTCAACATCAGTTATGAATACAAGACTCCACTTGCTAGCAAAAGCTACTTGGGGGATAGTTCAAGTTGTTATTTCTCGTATGATAAACACAGAGGTCTCCTCTGCATCTGTTATATCCTTTCTTATCATCTTTCTGTAGATGGAAAAAGGGAATCTTACCAGAATCAAACCGGTGATTTTACGATACTAAATTATATTCAAAGTAGGTAGTGTAAGTCAATATTAGTTGGGGAATCACTAAAAGTAAGACAATCCTATTCTAGTATAGGATTTCTAAGTGATATGAAGATCGAGATTTCATGATGTGATGTTGATTTTCCAATCTTATTTACGCGAAATTTCAATTTATTCTGTTTTTCTTTTAGGATGACTATGTTGATGAAAAAGATCCTTTGGATTTATCTGGATTGCCAACTTATAAGGCTCATAGTCATTATTCACACAATATTCCCAGTTTATTATACCACATAGATGAGAAAGCATCTAGTCCAGATCATAGTGAAGCAGAACGTGATGAACAATTGGTATGAAGTTTGATTGTATTAACAAATATCTCTTTGTATAAAGGGTTCAGTTACTCTGATCTTAATGCTATGCTGTCTTATTTTGTCTTAAGAATAATAAGTTTCTACCATGAATTCCATCTGACTGTCGTTTTTTTAACATTTAAGTATTGGTATTCGGCTAGAATCTCAGTGACAATAAAAACACATTTTCATCAGGTTTTCATTACTTACCTCTACAATAGATTACTCACCCTGAAATTTAAGTTCACCTATTACTCTTATAACTAAGTTCTGTTTTGTGTTACTCAAATCCCTGATTAAATTATTGTTACGGCAGTTCTCGTTTGAGATTCAATGGTCAGTCATAGCTTTTCACCATGAATTGTGGTAATATACGCCTACCATTCTTAATGAGTTGCAAGCGTTTGTTTATACGACATTCATGACTGCGCTTATTCACTTCCTTCGGTTTTATTCTGTTCAACTTTCGATAAACAGTAATAACCTTACAGACTGTTTTGATAATCATCTTATCATCAAAAATCGAGAAGGAAACTGAAACGGTTATTTAAAGTGGAATAATATTGTGGTACGGTAGCAGATTTTATTTTAATTCGCTTTCATTACGATTTACTTTGCCAAAATAAAGAATGTGACTGCATAGAAAAGAGATATATAACATGTTGGATCTTGAATAGATAATATTGATCATACTCCTACTGGCTGCCCAATCTGGACTTCTGATCCCAATCGCAATCTAACTGAATCAGAGAGGGGTAGCATCATATTGATTATCATTTTTGACTATCTGAGACAGCCGTAGTTTGGCAGACTGACTGGGGAGCCAGTGTGAGTACGATCAAGTGGTAGTAACGCGTCAGGAATTCACATGGTAGTCAGGGAGAACCCTTGGTGATCGAAGTCAAATACAAATATGGTCAGCAGCTGGACCTCATAGCCCAGTTGGTAGGGTATCCGACTAGAAACTCGGTGGCCGCTGGTTCGAATCCGGCCGCGGTCCAAATTTCCATTTCACCTTCAATCATCACCCAGTATTTATTGTCATTATTATTTATTTTTCTCTTGGATTCCTGGTGGAACATTTAGCTTCAGTAGCACGCCTCCATTGCACTCTGTTATCTACAGTCTTTTGGACCTGGAGCCACGACTCCCCATAAGCTTTCATTTCTTCCTCACATCATCTCCTCCATGTCACCCCAGCCTTGGACGCCCAACTCGTCGTCTCCCCTTTTGGACTCCACTCGAGGGCCTAGCATGGAACGTGATGTCCCCAGTCGGCCTTCTCACTGTATGCCCAATCCATCTCCACTTTTTTCTTCATATTTGTTGGGTGATAGGTGCATGGTTGGTTCGTTGCCGACCAGCCGGAGTTCCTGATTGCTTATTCTTCCTGACCATTCGTCTGATCTTCAGTATCGAGTGAGTGTAGGTGGTAGCTGTTGATGAATGTCTGTAGTTTGTTGGAAATCCATTTCGTGACACGCCAAGTTTCTGAACCATATAGCAGCACTGACCTGACATTGGTGTTAAAAATTCGGATCTTGTTCCTTGTGCTGAGGGCAGTAGATCTCCACACTGATTTCATTATGTGAAAACCTGTCTTGCTTTTCTGATCCTAGCTTTGACATCCCCGTTTGTGTCGCCTGTAGTTGGAACGATATTGCCTAGGTAGGTGAAAGAGACAACTTCCTTTAGGTTTCTCCCGTTAATGGTGATTGGAGCTTGTTGTTGATGCTGTTGTTGGTTGGGTATCTTCATCAACTCTGTCTTCTCTACAGTGTTCTTCCACGCCCGATTCTTCGGCGATGTTGCTTAATGTCTTCCATTTCGTTTTGATGGCTAACGTGAAGATGTCCTTTGTAGTTTTGTCCTTCAGTTTCTGTTCTGGGTGTTCAACTTGAACTGTGGTCTATCACCAACTTCTGTGAAGGTTTTCAACTTGATTTGGAAAGTTCCTTGCTCTAGACAGTGAGTGGTGTGAACCTGCTCTTGCCCCTCTCCTTCATCTTGTGTCCAGTAAGCTACGTTCCCACTTTCTTGAGACTGATCGATCTGGTCGATCTGATTTTTAGTGTGTCCATCTGGTGCAGTCCATGTCGCTTCTTGAATATCCTTGTGTTTGTGCACACTGCCTCGCCTCCAATCATCAAATCGTTGAATGCACAGAAATCTGCAAACAGTTCTCCGTTTTCATCCATTTCACCGAGTGCTTCTCGACCCATGATGAGTTCTCTTCCTGTGTTGTCCGCTCCCATTCATGTCACCCATTAGAGTTTGATGTCGCCAACTGGGGTGGGTTCTTGTCCAGTGCTGATTGCAGTTGTCTGCAGAATTCCTCCTCCTTCTCTTGATCTGCATTGAATGACTGTGACTTTCTTTCCTTATGATTTGAATCTAGCTGTCATGATCCTGATCCTAGAGGAGATAGGTTCCCACTTCATGAGAGCCTTCGATGCGCTTGGGGACATTATGATAGCCACTCCATAACTCAGTGTGCTCGTGGTTGTCGTGTGGGTGACAATGTCGAAGTAGATTATCGACTCTCCAGTTAAGAGTTTGGAGAGTCCGCTTCCATTCCACCTGCCTTCGCAGATTCCTAACACTTCAATGTCATACCCTCTTATCTCTTGCAATCTGGGCAGCCTTGCTAGGTTCTTACATGGTGTGGACATTCCATGTCCTCATATTTACTTTCGCTTTCATCGAGAGAAGAGAAGATACATCGACCGATTAGCTTCCCGAAGTCTTTCATCAACCGGCGTCATTTTGTCTCTCCGATTCCAGCGAGGAATGAGTCTGTTTTTATTTTTTATATTTTGTCTGTGCTTCGAAGTTTCTGTAGCGATTGGATTTGTTTTACGGGGTAGGGTTGCTAGCCATATACCCAAAGTTCCCTGTTTACCCGGGCTTAGGACCGGCTAGTAACTAGTGAACTAGTTAACGAGGCGAGGTTCATCACCCAATATGGATAATTTTTATTCATTAACAAATATTGCCGAGATTCTGCAGACATGCTACACAGGATGCTGCACAGCTAAAATTATTAATAAGGATATTTTAGCAAGAGAGAATCCTACATTTTAGATCGTGAATCGTGGTAAAGACCGTAAGTATAGCTTGCGATTTGGTTGCTCTTGGACAAATAAAAATTGTTCATCTTTCATCATTTTAAGCAGAAAAGAATATCTGCAGTACCAGTGAAATAAGTCAGCTCAAAGGGTGTGGTATAATTGCATATCAGCTTGTTTAATTACACTACGAAAGCATGAGAAACATTTAATAGTCTTATATAGTTAGGTGACGGACAAAATTCATTTATCCTCAAGATACTGACTTAAGCTTCACTTGAAACGTCGTCATCTTGGTGTTGTTTTCCATTGGTCTTTATAGGCATATATATATATATATATATATATATATATATATATATATATATATATATATATATATATATATATATACCTAAAATCAAGTCCGAATTAATTTCTCTATGGAAAAGATAGATCAGTATCTGTTAGTATCTCTATACGGTTACGTAAGAGACGGTTCTCATGACCTGTCAGTTTTCTATTGGTTAACACTCTGGTGTTTGAAGTGGTGAATTTTGAATCCAAGTTTGAGTGGGAATTCTGTCATTCAGGCGGACATAGGTAAATTCTGCTGATGAGCTCAAAATCGAATAAAAATGAGCATCATCTATTTCACAGTCAGCCACTACCACATAAATAACATCGAAATATTCAGTAACTTGACATTTTTTCTAAATTTATTCCTCTTAGTTCGTCACAGGACTTTAATGGAACCTTCAATGAACAACTCGTATTGCATATAACTTTCTGCATCTAGTCCTCAACACATAAATTGTTGATATTTTTCTGGTTATCTCAAATAAAATAGAGTGGAAATTAATTTCATTGGCGGAAATTCTGAACAAGTACATCTCGTTGTATCTTACTAATGAAATCACTTGAAGGAAGAAAGCTAATTTGATTTGGAAGTTTATTTAATGATTTCAAGGTGGTATTCATAGCGGACTGGCATCAGCTGGATAACTGCTGAAAACCTGAGATCACTGGACAGCTGTTTCGTTGTACTATGAGATTCCTCAGCAGTGTGTATACATGACCCCTCCAGGGATCGAACCTAGGACCTACAGGTCCATGGTCGACATATGATAATCGGGTCACTAGTTATGGAAGCGATGGTCCACGTTTTCCCGCTTCTGTTAGTTCGCGACTTAGAGTGATCTCCATCCAATAAGTGCGCACTTTGATGAGACCCATACAAGGGTGAAACAGCTATCCAGTTCTCCCAGGTTTGCAATGTTTATCCAACTGATGTCAGTCCGTGATGAATGCCAACTTGAAATCAATACATAAATCCCTACAAACTTCCAGATTGAATATGCAAAATGTTTTAGATACAATATTATGGCATACCAGAAAGAACCCCCTATTTATAACTAAAATGGAGCGCTCAACAAAGTTTAACAGAATGATTGCTGGGATTTAGCATATACAGTGGTAAAATGCATCAAAGCATTTCCCACTTCTTGGTCTATCGAAAACAATGATAATACTGTAAAAGAAAAGACTAATTGTCGGAGATGAGGATGTTTAAAAGTCAACTGGGATATTTAATCTAGCAATGGTGGAAAGGAAATAAAGAAGGCATAAATACAACTTTGCAACCCTGTGAACATGCATGCAATACGTGATGAGCTAAAACTGTTGTATGAAGCCTAATGACTGCGCAGACCTCTGTAAGTGGAGTATGGTTGGAAACTGGGGTCTACTGGATCAAAGTAGAATGCTTTGACCAATGAATTACAGCTCTAAGATAGCAGAGCTCATGTTAATATCTTAACAATATTTTTGGTCATCAGAGCAAGCTATAT